GTAAGTCTTTTAAGGAGCTCGTTGGTCGGAAATTTTAAATTTAGCCCTGGTGGCCACCGAAGCCTACTCTTATCGATTTTAGACCACCAAGGGATCTTTAACGTTTGCAACTTGCACACGAGACCTACGAGATTTTTCGCCCTCGTCCAAGAAGGCTAGATGTAGATCTTTCCTACCAGAAGATAAAGGGTGTGGCTGAAAGACAGCAGTAAGAAGGAGCCAAGGAGTAGCAGTAGAAAGGCTGCAGAAAGAGTCAGAAACCCAGAGGAGGGGGCAAAGGAAGTGACGGGTGGGGCAGAAAGTGGAGACAAAAGCAGACCACAGAACACTGCCAGAGAGCGGGAAAGAAGGTGAAAGGAGACAATTTTAGAGAAGAAAATTTTACCGTCGCTTCTCTGACTTGAACCTGGGACCTTTGAATGAGAGGCGAACCCCTTAACCTTAAGGACATAGGTCGATTGGCAGTGTGCCCTTGGTGTAGCGTTCTACAACAGACGTAGCCTTGTTACCTACGACGGTGCAGTACTGGACTGATGCTAATTGCACTGGTTTAAACTACTAATCGTGTTGGTTCTTTGGATTTTTTTTAATATTAAGGTCAGAAGACTGTCCATGTGTCTCTACCCACCATCCCCACCCTACTTGCCTGACTTCTTCGGAGTTGGAATTTGACTGTCTTTCACCTAAATGTACCGGGATCTTTCGTGTAGTGCTTAGGCACGTCGTCGTGACACACATAAAACCTGAGTTCGATTCCTGTGTTGGGAGAAGTTATATCGATCGAGTAACTTGATCTTTCTGCTTGGAAGTTTTATATCCCTCAGCCATGATTGGCCCTGAAAGGTATGGTCGAAACCCTACCACTAATGATTTAAATTGTGTCGATTAGGGACTATAAAACATCTACATTAAAAATAAGAGCAAACAAACAAAACACCACCACCACCACCACCAACAACAACAACAACAACAACAACAACAACAACAAAACCGTGTGGTTGCAGAGACGTGATAAAAGTAATTAACTATACTCAATATGTTTTTATGTGTCTAATCTTCTACCTTACAGATTCAACACAATATTGAGTGCAGCAGTAAAAAAAACCCAAAAAACGAAACAACAACAACAACGAAAGCAACTTGGTAAAAGGTTCCTGTCATCAATGTAATGTATATTTTGTTAGAGTAGGGTGCACATTCTCTAGAAATGGACTGAGGGTAACCTTAGTCTCTATTTATAGAACATTGCTTTTTCAGGCGCAATCTCCAATATGGTAATGAATGGTTTGGTATGGTTTGGTATGTTTTGGTATGGTATGGTATGGTATGGTATGGTATGGTACGCTGTGCTATGCTATGCTATGCTATGCTATGCTATGCTATGCTATGCTATGCTATGCTATGCTATGCTATGCTATGCTATGCTATGCTAATCTACAGGCGTGGGTGAAGGGGGAGAAAAGTTACACTATATTTTGCCCATCACAAGTCTTCTATCTCACCCAACACGCTCTCCACAACCCCAATACAACTGAGCCATTATGTGGTCCCCTTCAAAGAATATTAGACCTTACAGTGCATCTTACTTTTGTTACCCCACCGCCCCCTCTCTACAAGTATCCACAACAGAACGTCGACTAGCTGTTCAGATACCCAATGCCTAAAAATATTTTTAAATTTTAAATTTTAAATTTTGTTTTGTTTTTGTTTTGTTTTCGTTTTTTAAATTGCACACTATCTGTTTGTGGTGTTAATTCATTGCATGTGCTAAAGAAATATTTTGTTGGTCAAAATTGTCATTGTAAATGTTGAAAAAAACCCCCAACAAACAACCCCAAGTAAAGATACATATAAGGTAGTTATTATTCATTGTTAAAAAAATGTAAAAAGTTATTTCTCTCTCCTGAAAAAAATAGCTTTCTGGGAAAGTATAAGCCTAAATAATTTGACAGCTTTTTGACGAGTCTCCCCGTAGGCTGAGAACACTTTGTCCGAGTCAAAACAAATACCTACGCCTGTACTGGGCACCAGAAGTGAGCATACTAGGTACAAATGTTTAGAACACCCATCAAATCATAGATCATTTGTTCATTGGACAATAAATCATCCACGTCCTCACAACACAGCAGTACTTTTTTGTGCTTGATATAATTTTCTTAAACTGAAAGGCTTCATTTCCTAAAATCCCGCAACTATCAATCCTTCTCTTGAGAGTGTCTTTTTCCTTATTTACAAAATATTCACTTGATTTGTCTAAAAATGGATTAAAAAAAATTACACATATTTATGTAATGTTACTCTTTGCAGTGGGCAAAATGCAAAATAACACCGGGAACAGATAAGATGTGATTTTTTGCGTCATATATGTACATTGAGCAAAGTCTCAGGGAAAAGTTCGCCATCTCTCCTCACTGGATTCCAAACTTCTCTGCAGCAACACGCTTCAGCTCTTTCCGGTCTGTTTTGCCTGTGCTGGTTGTTGGGTACTTGTCCATGATCTGGGGACGTTATCGATGTACCAGTGTATACCCACATACACTCATATACAGACACAGAAATATACATACAAACAAATAATATTATAATATGCACACGCATAAATTCACTATTTTACATGCAAGCACACCCGCACACACACACACACACACA